TAATTGCAAGTGGCGAATCCAGCTATAAACCAACTTTGCTTAAGCAATTAACTTCCCTCTTGTTCCCGCTAATTTGTTAAACTTTCCAAGCACAAAACCGTAATCCCGCGAATTGCAATTCGTAAATGTCACAAATCATCACATCAACAAATCCATAGCAACCATTCATTTCAAAATTGAATTTTAAATAACCTACCTTGATCTTCGCTGTTGCGCTTTAAATTCGGGTTAATTATACGATTACGAAATCTCTTTTCAAAACAAACGAATAGCAACAATTACATTATAAATTCTTTGTTTCTTTCAAATTTTCTTTGTTCGATTTTTTTTTTGTTTGGGGCTAAACAATGCGAAAAAGTAAACGGTTAATTTAATCCGTTTTTTTTTTTGTAGCGAATTTTAATTAGGATTAAAGAATCTAGGACGAAAACTAGAAAAAAAAAACTGATTGCTTTTGAGTCGTTCCATGTTGTGATTAATCTTATGTTTGCTGATCTCGTTGTAAGTGAATACATCACGTATTTATTACATATTAAATACAATGCGGGTATTATTAAGAACAGTTAAAACCGCGCCCAATTTCATCTCTTCGTCTTTCACGCTCATCGGAACGGGTTGAAACGATGATGAAGATGATGAAATCCGCATTATTTTTGCCGAGAAAATTGCCTTTTACCTTCACATATTAATATTTAACATCGAGGAAACAATAAAATTATTATCTAATGCAGCAAGTAAACGCATAGTGTTTCAAGATTATTATTATTATAGTAGAATATACGTTGAAATTGAATAAGAGGTCAACGGAACGATTATTGATTGATTCTGAGAATCTTTGGATATCCAGATCATGGAATTATTTTATTGACCTTCCACTAAACGATGTTGAATTTAGAGATTTAGTCCACTAATTTGATTAAAAAAAAAAAGCAAATACACTTTGGATTACTAAAAATCTCCCCTAATTCAATATTTAATGGTATCGAAATTACGTAAATTTTACTGAATTAATCAGAAACTTTATATATTTTACCGGCTTTGATGAAAATTCCGACAATTAAAATACCAAAAATCGAATTCCCGACAACCGTAATCCCGACGCTGTTATAATCCCGGCAGTATCAAAATCTCGACAACCGTAATCCCGACACTGTTATAATCCCGGCAGTATCACGATTTTGGCAATCCATATTATTTTTTTTTTACAAATCTCGATAAGTCTAAGGATTAATTAACTAGTTAGTTTTAATTTAGCGTAGTTAAAAAACAGATTTTACACTTTTTTTTATTAGTTTAACATCAATAATTACATATATCAAATAATGAAAGACTGTCGGGATATTCAATGTCGGGATTTCGATATAGACCCCATATTTTACGTATACGATATTATTTGAAGTGTTGTATTGTACAACACTTGTACAATTATTGTACTTGTTAAACTTTCGAGTCAAATTGTATAGATGGAAAGTTGGATTTGCTGAAAGATTTGTTTGAAACTTTTGATGTGAGAAGAGTGGAGTCGGAAGGGCGTCAAGTGCGAAATGGGTGAAGTGCATATATTGTGTTGACTAAATGGGATCACTTGTAGTAAAATACAAGTGTATGTATGGAAAAGAGAGAGAGGGAGAGTGGCGGAGGTCGCGGCCAGCGGTGGAAAGAGGCGGAGGCGGTGACGGCGGCGTTACGTAACCGCGACGCCTCGGTGCACGTAACCGTGCAGTGATTAATATCTACGGTGTAATTGTTTAGCCGTGGCCTTCAACCTGCTGCTGCTGCCGCCTGCTGCCTACCATATTTCCTGAATCCCCATCCTGAATTATAAATGCATACGCAGATGCAATCGTTCCTGCTGTTGCTACAACATAGAAGACCTCTCTTTCCTATCATTTCCGAAGCACCGAACAATGAAGAACGAAGATCGAACGATCCAGCTGAGAAGAAGGAATAGAAGCAGCAGCAGAAGAACGAGAGCACAATCATCCTTCTTCCTATTGCCATTACCATTCTTTCTCTCTCTCCTTCACGTTGCAGAGAGCACAGACGTGGAGTAATTAAATGTTGCTTCGTGACAATCTCGTTTTAATGTATGCAAACTCGTTCTTCTTCGCTCGTGCTTCATCCAACCAGCGCCACTCTCTCTCTCTCAGTTCTTATTTCACTTCGTCTCTCTTTCGTTTCGCTTTGGAATGCAAATTGCCGCAGATTCTCTCCGATCGTCGAATTATTAATTGACGCTGATTTGGGACGCAACCCACATGCTAATCTTCTTTGGCCCACTAAAACAAAATACAAACCAATTGTAAAAAAAAAAGAAGCAAAACCAATGCACTAAAGGATCTCAGCAATTACTACTTTTTTTTCTTTCTCTCTCTCGCTTCAGCTGTGTAAATCTGTTATCGCCGGGCTAAGACATAATTTGTGGTCTATGTTGGGCGAGGTCTGCGGTTATTAGCAACTGCATATTGCAGATGTTGATGTAGTTGACCATGACCATGACATTGATTTAACCTCTGCGCAGGTATATCAGGTGCATTCTATTCTAAATCTGCAAATTATACTTGTATATATACACACACACACACAAACACACATATGTATGCTGTGTATAAGCATCTGGCGTGTTCAGCATAAAAAAATTGTACGTTAAGAAGAATGCGTGCAAGCAAGATGGAAGAGCAAGAAACGCGCCACGAATATCATCTCAACTATACGTACATATTTACTCTTTTTTTCCTCTTCTCATTGTAACTTAAGACTTTCGGTTTCTACGTTGATAATCCGAAGGGAAGAGGAAGAATCTGATATTTCAGACAAAATGCAAAGATAATAATAACAACAACAACGTCTCACGAATTCGCGTTAAAAAAAAACAATTTATAATTACGCAACTTTCCTAGTATGGAAGAAGACACTTAAATGCTAAAACTCATTAAAAGAAATTTACTAATAAGGTTTTAGTAAAATTAAAATCTGCAATATACAGGAAACTTAATTACAAGTAGTAGTAGTATTTTCATAAGTGCATTTATTATTAACCATATGCATCGAACCAAAACCTATTCACACATCAATTATATTTTCTATTATAATTATAAAGTTTTCATTGAATCATATTTTTGATTATTTATGTTCAATTTGATATCAATCAAAACGAAGATTAAATAAGTAATCTTAATCTATAGTGGGTGTCCAAAAAAAAAGAAACTGCAATGATTCATGAATGAGTTTCATAATTAACTTCTTTCATAACATAATAATACAAGAAAAAAAAACTATAATTTAAGGACTTAATCAAGTTTATCTTGAGTTGGTGTAACTTAAAGACAGTTCGTTCAGTTTCCTCTTGGTGAAGTTCATCTATGATTCATGGAGGAGGTGAAGAGAGGTACCATGAATCATCATGCGTCGTGTGATTCAACCTGGGATTCGGTTTCCAAAGAAGTGTAGTTAATTTAATTAGACCTTAAGACCGTAGCTGAAGTGTGAAGTCAATTCTTGGAAAGTACAAAAAACATTCATTCTAAAAGTTCCTTTAAAGTATAAAATTAACATTTCATACAAGTTGACCCAAATACAGAGAAATTAAATGTATATTCAAGTTTTTTTTTATTTCCTCTATTTTTGAAGTATAATTATGAGTTGCTGCAGTCATAAAATACTTGTCTTACATATTTGAATATTTCCCAAATAAAGTTTTGAAATGATTAAAAGGTTGAAGTAGAATTTATATTCTCACTACGTATGAGAGTTTGCTCTATTTTCAAGTTTTAATAATGAGCTGTTGTGGACTTGAAAGACTTGTTTCAAAGCAATATATATATATTTTAAGAATACACGTTTCTCTGGTTAAGGGACGTAATTAATTTAATTAAATCGCTGAATGTGGAAAGATTAAAGAGTGTAATAATCCTGATGAAATTGCAAGTATTTATTTCTTGATTAGGGTTTTCTCCGTATTACATTTTCTTGTCTTTTTGGATGTTATACGTGATCTGATGACGAAAGAGAGCATCGATTGATGGAATTTGTCGTATCTACGATCTATTTGTTTTCTATTTTTTTCTTGAAATATATAAATATATACGAGGAATAAAGTTTTCGGCTCTAGTGAAGATCGTAACGAGCTGACGCGTGATGGGAATGGGAGATAGAAAACGGAACAATGGGAGAGTCTCGCGGCGAAGAGCAACAGCAGCAGCAGAGAGAATGTTACCTATCCGAGACAGAGAGAGAAGACAAGTGTGTTGAGGTGGTGGTGGAGGAGGAGGAGGAGGAAGAGAAGAAGCAGAACAATGGGGCACTTTTTCTTTTTCCTCCTGAAACGAATTCACTGTTAAGGACGCAAACGCCGTTGTGTAATGCGGCTCAAGTTTGAAACAATTAACGTTCATTATTAATCGCACAAAGGAAAGGAGAAGGAGAGTCATTATTAAATTATTAGTATGAGAAAGGATTCGCGACGTCTGGATGCGCGTGTGACGATGAGGAATGTTCTACTACTATAAACATGAATATTTGTTGTTTCTTGGTAATCTTAACCATTCTCGTTTATTTTTCTTGATGTGTAAGATGCGCTTGTTATTTAAGAGAGATTTTTCGGGTCCCCGCTGATTCATGACCTTACCAATAAAGAACTGCGCTCCGTGGTGTTCATGCAATGCATGTTTGGTAAGACGGAGAGAGGAGACAGTGCGAGCGGCTGAGAGAGAAAAGAGGTTGCATTTTATTTATAAATCGTTGGTCGATCAAACGGAGCAACGTACGTGCGGTTTTCGCTTGCACTTACAAATAAAAAGTAAAAATACTTGCTTGACTAGTTCCAGCCATTACCTCACATTTTATATAAAGCCGCGCGCCGTAAGTTTTAAACAGTAAATCTGAAATGGCGAGGAGCGAGAAAAGAGATTCTCTACTATTTCTTCTTCTAGATGTTGTTTATGATGATGATGATGATGTTGATGATGTCGATGTGGTATTTTATCGTTGTGTGTTTTCAGGTCGAGAGGATCTTTCGCCGAGCAGTTTGAACGGTTACAGTGCGGACAGTTGTGATGCGAAGAAGAAGAAAGGGCCGACGCCGAGGCAGCAGGAGGAACTGTGTCTCGTATGCGGCGACAGGGCGTCCGGGTACCATTACAACGCCCTCACCTGCGAAGGTTGCAAGGGCTTCTTCAGGCGCAGCATCACCAAGAACGCCGTCTATCAGTGCAAATATGGAAACAATTGTGAGATAGACATGTACATGAGGCGCAAATGCCAGGAATGCAGGCTGAAGAAGTGTCTCAGTGTTGGCATGAGGCCGGAATGCGTCGTCCCCGAGGTCCAGTGCGCCGTGAAGCGCAAGGAGAAGAAGGCCCAGAAGGAGAAGGACAAACCCAACAGCACCACCAACGGACTTCCCGACATCATCAAAATGGAACAAGAAGTAAATACTATTACTACTAACAATGTAAGAACATTCCATCTTCACAATCTTAATACTTATAGTCTTAGCAAAAAATCAATCACTTTCGAGCTGCTCTAAAATCATTTTTCAAGCATCTGCTGAAGTAACATCATCAAATTGCTGCGATCAATTTTCATGTATAATTACAACTATCAACTTTTTAATCTATTAATTTAAAGGTATCTTTAACATCTTACTATGCTGTAACAAATTTGCTTTTTTTTTTCATTCTACTCAAGTGGAGATTCTCAAGTAGTTATTAGACTTTGATGTATCATCATCATCAACACTTTACTATTAGAATCGTTCTATTTTAATTAATCCTTTATTCATCAATCGTTTTTGAAACTCGAATGTGATTAATCAACGCGTAGATTGTAATCGTGAAATTATATGAAGAAACTGTTACTATACAAGTTTGGTCTTTTTTATTCTCTTTTTAGTCATCGGACAATGAAAAGATGCCACTAGTGAACGGCGTGAAGCCCATCTCACCGGAACAAGAAGAACTTATACATCGACTTGTTTACTTCCAAAACGAATACGAGCACCCCTCGGAAGAAGACGTGAAACGGATTATCGTAAGTACAATTACTTTAGTGTTATGTAATTGTTGTTGGTAATTGTTGTTTCTTTGTGCAGAACCAACCGATGGAAGGTGAGGACCAGTGCGACGTCCGTTTCAGGCACATAACAGAAATCACGATACTGACGGTGCAGCTTATAGTCGAGTTCGCGAAACGGCTACCCGGATTCGATAAGCTCCTGCGAGAGGATCAGATAGCTCTTCTGAAGGTAAACTCAAGAATGGAACAACATTACATAATAGTAACACTGGGAAAAACTAAGTTCTCATCTTGTATAATGTTATATCATTTCCGATTGATGAGTTTGTAATTACAAAGAGAAGAAATCCAATCCATCTCGGTCGGGTTTTAATTGAAAATTTTCATCTTAATTTCGGTGATGAAAAGATCAAATCTAAGTAATATCCATTAAGAAAAAAAATTGTAATAATTAGATTCTTCTATAATGTCCTATAATTTCGGAGTTGATGAGTTTGTCCAAATTGAAATTTCAATCAAAAACTTAATTTCGTTGATGATGAAGAGTAGAAGACGAAATCTGGGTGAAATCTAAAGATGACCAAAATTACGCAATCTTTTGATTACTTATCCGTTTCATCATTCATCTGAATGGTGAAAGTGCGTCAAAAGCAAAGTACTCACGAAGAAGTAATTGTTCTTGTCGATTTATTTCTTCGTTTTTTTTAGGCGTGTTCGAGTGAGGTGATGATGTTCAGGATGGCGCGACGTTATGACGTGCAATCGGATTCGATCTTATTCGTAAATAACCAGCCATACTCCAGGGACAGCTATAATTTAGCAGGAATGGGAGATACCATCGAGGATTTATTGCATTTTTGCAGAACCATGTACTCAATGAAGGTCGATAATGCAGAATACGCCCTCTTAACAGCCATTGTTATTTTCTCTGGTAAGTTTTTTCTCTTTTTTTTTTTCATATTTTCTTCTCTTTGCTTGAGCTTAAAAATCATGGAAGAACAATAAAACCAAATGAACATATTATTATTACTATTTTTTGTTCGTCGCTCTTGCGAAATAGAAAGGAAGCGTGTTTTACAACAAACCAACAAACAAACAAAAAAAAAGTATATATAATAATCCACTACATGCACACACCAAGGTAGCGTTCGGCACGACATTGAGAACACAAAAGCTTTCGATGCCAACAACCTCCAAAAAATCCTGCAAAAATAATTACAACAATTTCGGTTTTCAAACCCGTCGTAAAACGTGCGAAACAGACTAAAACAAACAAACAAACAAGGATCAACAACACTAGAATCTAAATGTCATTTACTTCATCAAAGCTGCTCATTCATTTGTTTTATTTTGTTATTCTCCACGATTCCTTTCTAATACAAAGAAACGAATTAAATCAATTGGATCTAGAAGAAATTTATTGTCTCACTTTATAATGATTCAGGGTTTTCAACACCTTTTTCATTCATTCAAATCATAGATTTAGTTTTTAAATCCAACTTTATAGTAATTTTACAAAAAATTCATTGAAGTTCTTATCTTGTGTACAGGTTGTTACAAAATATCAATGAAGTATTTACAAATAGTTGAGATAGTGGAACATGTACAAAACTAAGTATATAAAAATGGATTTCAGTACAAAGATCGAATAATTAACATATAAATTATAGAAAAAAAAATACCACAATCTTATTTATTTTCAAATTAATATGTAAATTACGTCTAGACGTATTAAATTCAAGGAAACGTAAATAGATAAACAAAAAAATTTATCTTTCATTATTTATGTTTAATTAAAATGTTTCAATATTTTCATGACAATTTGAGTTAGTGATGTTGTTTTTATATGTGTAATTAATTGTGATGTTTTCGTGTGATTGCAGAGAGGCCAGCTTTGATCGAGGGTTGGAAAGTGGAGAAGATCCAGGAGATCTACTTGGAGGCGCTCAGGGCGTACGTCGATAACAGGAGGCGCCCGAAAGCCGGAACGATCTTCGCCAAACTGTTGTCCGTACTTACCGAGCTTCGTACGCTCGGAAACCAGAATTCCGAGATGTGTCTGACGCTGAAGCTGAAGAACAAGAAGCTGCCGCCGTTCCTCGAGGAGATCTGGGACGTGGACATGAAGACATAGTAGGAGGAGAGCGAGGACGGACCGAGGAGCGCGAACGCCGCATCAGAAGGTCCCCGATAGAAAGAAAGACAAAAGAACAACAAGAACAAGAACCGATCACCGAACTTGACTTGATGATGAATGGTTTTTCAAATTTCACTTTATGTTCAATTGGTAAAATTGTGCAGTGCGCGTGAGTTTTGATGAAATTGTAGGCTGTGAAACATAATTGTATAAACAAACAAACAAAAAAAAAAAAGAAAATAATAACGATGAAGGAGGATAGAGAGTAAATATGGAAGAGTAGGATGAGGAGAGGCGAAGATGAAGATGACTACGAGAGTTACAGAAATAATAATAACACGTTGAACAAGAATAAAAATAAAAAATAATATTCAGGAACACCCAATGTTTGAAACATGTATAAAGAAAAACAAACAATATTGTAAGCAAGGACAAAAAAAAACAACACACACACACAGATATCTATATATATATATATATATAAAGAAACAAAAGCTGAAAGTATAACTTTTCTCACTAATCGAGTTGGCATCTAGACTGTTGGTAGGTAGATAGGTCTCATTTTATTTTTATTTTTTGTTTTGTTTTTAATTTGTAATATATTTTTATTTACTTAAGACTGGATTGGACTGATTTACTGAGGTGCCTTCTGCAGACTGAGGGCCATGTCTGGATAAGTGCAATTTCGATCGGCATAAATTATTTAAAAAAAAAAAAGATGAAAAATGAATGAAAGGAAAATTTTCAAAAGAAAACACACGCAGACTGAGCCGTCCTTAAAAAAACATGAAAATTGCGCGAAAATGGAGAAGGAAAAGCGAAAGATTTGGGGAGGGGGATAGGGGTTGTAGATCGAGGAAATTTAATCCTGGCTTCGATGAAAGAAGTTATTAAAAACAAACAATTATTATATAATGAACACAAGAAGTGTTTATATTAAGTGTCGTTTACTATTCTGGATGTGTGGCTATAGTCTAATCATGTTTTTTTGTACTATATATATATTATATACTATAATCCCGTGGAAATTGTTTTAAAATTCTTTACAAAACGAACGGACGTGCGAAAGCAGCAGCAGAAGAAGAACCTAGGTTTCGGGATGGTCGCAGGATATATGAGGAGAACAAGCACTCAATCCTTGCATATATTTTGCCACCATCCTAACAACAACAACAACAACAAAAGAAAAACAAACAAAGATTAATTAATAACAACAATTATTAATTAATACTTTTCTCGTAATTTAATTAAAACTATTTAATAAGAAAATCGCGAAAATAAGAAACCTTAAGGAATATTTAAAAACAAACAAAAAAAAATACATACATATAAAGTAATAATAATGATAACATATTTTCATAATCATCAATGTAGATAAACATATTTTCATACAAAAAAAAAATAAAAACAAAAAACAAACTAATAATAAACTGGATACGCAGATCAATTTTTTCATTTATTCGTATTTTCTTCGGAATTTACGTTTTTTTTCTATTATATAAATTTAGAGAGAAACTTGAGTTTTTCTTTTGTTAATTTACCCTTTTTTGTTTTAGATTGTTTTTCGGACACACACATAAACACATACAAAAAAAATATGATACAAACACATTCACACACATGTAATAAGAAAGTATATATATTAATATAGAAGAGGTTGTACGTGAGCCATCAATTGCCTTATTCGGATGCACGTTTGTTTGTTTCTTTCGGACTATATTATTATTATTATTATATAATGATAATGATGCAAGGAGACGATGAAAAAAAACAAAAACAAAAAAAAATGAGGAAAAAAAAACAAAGTACTAATGAAACTGAAAGAAAAGAAGAAATAACTAAGTAAGCCCAGCCCAGCCGACCGTGCGCAACGCAAGACCTCTGTTAATATTGATGAAATACTAAGTAATAAAGAGATGATGAAAATAATAAAAATATGATGAGAATTTGAAAGATATATATATATATACGAGAGATGATTAAATACATGTAATAATAATAAAAAAATATATATATATATTTGGTGTCCACAAAATGCCAGTTGTTCGAGAGTGTATGTGTAAAAAAAACAAAAACAAAAGATAATTATGAAGAAGGCGCAGAAAATTAATTAAACAAAACAAAAAAAAAAAGGAAAACTGTCATAACAACAACAGCAACAATAATAATAAAAAATGAAGAACGATCAATTATTCTTACGTAATGCAGCTTTTCCGGATTCGACGAGGTCGCGCAATAACGCAAACTACTCGATTTTGTAATTAATTTAGTTAAAATTTACAAAAAAAAAAGAAACGTATACACGCGTTTATGGTGAATGCAAATAATCAATTAGATTCATTGAATTTCTGTAAAGTAGTAACTTTATTTCTTTTTAAATTAATAACAAAAAGAAAAACGCACAAACCGTTAATTTGTTTGTCTTTATTTCAAATTTACACTGGCTCTAAATAATGTAAACTAAATTTTGCATTTCGTTTTTATTAGGAAATTATTTAAAACAATTTTATAAATATATATATATATATATAATATTAACGAGAGGAGAGCAAAACAAAAGTAATTATTGCATTTTTTTTTTCAAAATCTAGTAGGTTTTTTTTTCAGAAAAACATAAAATTAAGACTAATGCTCTTCTACATTGTTATGAATCGAATTATTAAACTTTTCGTAATTGGCAAAGAACTGAAAAATCAATTTTTAACTAAAACTAAAAAAAATATATTTTAAACGTAAAAAAAATATCACTAAAGTAGTAGTCATTAAATTAAGTATTAGTTCAATTTTACATTTTCGCATTGCTTTAATTAATTTCATAAAGAATTTACATTCAAATTAGGAAAATTAGAAATTTGTAGCTATGATTTCTCTATAAGAGATGTATGATATTTTTGATATCAATCGTTTTAAACGTAAAAAATTTAGAATCGTTTATTTGCTTAGATTAAATAGTAAATTGCGTTTTTGTTTTCACTATAGTTACGTTTATTGTTGTAGCTACAAGAAATTTTTGTTTGTTGCTATGGTTATTACATATAATTGGATAATAGCTAAATTCGTGATACTTTGAGTTTCAGTTTTCACTATAGTTACGTTTATTGTTGTAGCTACAAAAAAATGTTTGTTTATTGCTATGGTTTTTACATATGATTGGATAATAAGTAAATTCGTGATACTTTGTCTGAGTTTCAGGTAAATTCAGAGACGGAAGCGCCTTAAATGACTAAAATTTTATATTCGAATTGGAGAGTGAAAGAAAAAAAGAGATGAGATCAATTCGTTTAGTTATTTATTTTTGTCCCAAAATTTTTGTACCACACTTTACTCTTTTTATATAGTTAACTCCGTAGAGTTGATTTAAAAACAAATTGTCAATATTTAACAACAACAACAACAAAAGACTGATAACGAAATTTACATTCACCATAAAACCTAATTCTGTTAGTTTAAATTTTTCGTTTTTTTTTTGGCTTCTGAATTGAGGAGTTTGCGGTTATTGCGCTGAAACCTCGATGGATTTGAAAGAAGCGATTAGTTTTTTCCTCTGTCAGGTATTGATGTACAAAATATATTAAAATATAAGGTACAAATCTTCAGGATAAATATAGATGATATTGTATTGTTATTGTTTTGTGTTTGCGCGACGCTTGGGGCCGGCCGGGGCTGATTCACTGCCAGCAGTGGTTTTTTTCTGTCTACATAATAATGAATATAATAATATAACAAGAAAAGATAAGAAATATCTTAAATGAAAAAAAAATTATATAATTAAATAATTATATAAACATTCACGTTTCATCTAGTCTCATTGTAATAATAAATTGAAGAGAGAGGATAACGATAATTACTAAAGTAAACTAAAGTAAAAAAAAAAAAACAAAAAAAAACAAAACATCAAAGTGTGTTAAGAGAAAAAAAAAACAATTATTTATATAAATATATAAATGTTGATGTCCCGTGTGTTTCGTGCTCCACGGACGGCGGCCGATAGAATCCAAATTGCGTAACAATCCATCATCGGCTATGATCGGTCACGTCCGTGCGGCGAATTCTACCAATTACACTGCCAAATTTATTGGACTGCCACCAAAATTAATTGAAAAAAAAAAAGAAAACAAAAACAAATATAAGATGAGAATTAAATCTTAAATCGTAGTTGTATTATAAAAGCAATGCTCATAGGCGTATTATGAAGAGAGGTGATCATTGAAATCCAACACTGGGGCATCTTTTTTATTTATTTTTTTTGTATAGTGCGAAACATTCATCAGCTGAATAACCGGGATTTATTCGCGTGAAAACCTCGACGCATCCACCTGTTTTTTTAAAAATTTTGTAAATATCGCTTTTTTCTTGAAGAAAATGAAATAAATAAATTTAAAAAAAAAACTGGGTGGAAACGCCGGGATTTTCGCGTTTTTATATGTTTTAACGTGGGACTGAAGCGCACATAAATGGAAGAAAAAAATTATGTACTTGAACGCTGTTTGTATTTATGTGTGATCAGTTTGTTTTGTAACACTTGTACGGGATGATGTGAAAGTTTGAAGGAGGAAGAAAAAAAAAAGAATATATAATTATGTATGTATTTAAAAAAAAATATGAATGAAACGAAACCAATGAATTATTCGCAGAGGGATTTCGAATTGGTTCCTCCGCAAAAAAATATATGAAGAACCTCAACATGTCTCTCCTATTAGAACACTTGTGAACGCATGATTTTAATAAGGAGGAATCAACTCGAAGGCCGTTTATTGAGACACTTAATGTACTATCTGTAAAAAGGGATGAAGTAAAGCTTTATTTCTTTAAATCTAAAAAAGAAACTGTAGTAAAGAAAATTCTTAACTTTTATTAATATTATTTTTTTTTTATGAAAGAAGTTATATTGATAAGATTTTAGATGAAGGAAGTGAGAGTAAATAAATTAATTTTTATTTTAAAAATCTTTCGTTTGCGACACTTTTCCGATATATTTGTTTTTTTTTTTAAATTTCATTATTATTGTTTTTCTTTTGCGTTTTTGTTATTATTTGAATTGAATGTAATTTGATTTAACGTAATCGTGCTGAAACGGAAGAGTACCATTCCTAAGTAAAGATATTTAATGAAGGAGAAACGAATTGTGAATAGGAAGGAAGGAAATTATGAGTAAACTACGACGAAGACGACGACGACAACAACAACAACTTTAAGAGAGTGTAAAATATATATTTTAGATTAAATATGGAAAGTGCAATATGTACAAATTTTACTAATTTTACTTTTTTTATATATATTATTATTATTGTTTTATTAATTATTATTATTATTGTATATGAGATGAATTATTAAAAATAATTAAAGAGTAACGTTATTTTCTACTGAGCATAATATTGTATATGGATACGAATGGACAAGACGATGATGAAGATGATGGAAGAGAAAGAGATGAGAGAAACGGCAGTATTAATTCTTGGATCGAGCGCGGAAACACTACTAAATGAACTACACACTACTATATTATTATACATATATATATATTAAGCAGAGAACGCATTGTATTTCTTCTATGTGATCTTGGGATTTTCAAAAAAAAAAAAAATGATAATATGAAACGGTCTATAATAATGCATGGATGTTGTGATGATCGTGATGAAATGTGGAAATGTTCCGAGGATGCCCGACGAAAAGAAATTCATACCATTCTTTTAATTTTTCATTGATTTTCCTCCATGATTCCCTTTAACCAAGCTCCAAGCCACGAACGGGGGACGGATTTCCCTCCTCCAACACAAATTACCTGCAAATTGTTTGATTGAAAAAAATAAATAAGAAACATTAAGAAAAGGATAAATACAAATGAAAGTAATGATAAATCCTGTTATATCGAGTGTTGTATAAGCATTTTTTGAGAATGTTCGAATGAATATATTTTGTGCAGTAAACAGTAAACTCAATAGTAAAACATTGTTGTTTCATTTATTCCACTCCAAATTATATACAACAAACACATAATAAGTTTAAAATAAATACTAGGTAAGTATTATTGCTATCAATTTTCATTTGCTCTAATTACTCTAATTAATCTTTTATATACAGGGTGGCCTAATTGAAATGCAACTTTTAAGAACGCTGTATTTTTTTTTATTTGAAATTGGATTTTATTGAAGAACAAGCAAAAAATGATGGAAAATAATTAAATTTTTTGAATAAATTTCAAATTTTCGATATGGCCGCCTTGAGCGCGAACTATGACCTAGCAAGTCGCAACCTGCGGAATTTTCCTCCATTCGCGAAGAAAGGCTTCATTGAACACATTAACACTGGTATTTTTTAGTGCTGACATTGGTCTGTAAAATGTCCCATACTGAGAAGTCGAGCCATACTGAGTTGTCTCTCAGCCATTGTTGGTTTTCGTGTGATGATGCAGACTTTTCTTGAAACATCCACTCTTTCTGACTGAAATGTTTGGTTGTTCACGACTTCACATCACCTTCCAAAGCTTTTTCGTTGTAGACATTCGTTTTAACCTTGACGCCACTATCCAAAAACACCAACCGAGAGCGACTATCGACCGTCACAGCTTCCCAAACTACTATAAAACAGTGATACTTGACTTCTTGTCTAAATTTCCGATTGATCTCTCTTCTTAATAACTTCGATCATTCTGTTTGTTTACGAATATCTGAATTGCCAAATTTTTCTCATCAGACAACAGCTCTATCCATCCTAGATTTATTTTGAACATCGGTGAGATCTTGTACTTTTTGGAACTTGTAAGTCATGACTTTGAGTTCGATTTTAAATATTTGTTGCATGGTCATTTTCGATATGTTCAGCTGAGTAACCATTTGTCGTCCACTGCAGTATTCTCTATACTTAATTATATTTTTTTTTGTAAATCTTAAATTAAATTTACAAATATTATTTTTCAATTACACAGCAATAAACTAATAACGCTTTCCAAATATGCACAATCTTCTATCTATAAATAAAAATCATTTACGGATTAAATTACACGGTCTGCAACCGAACCTTTGTAATAATGCATTGCATCATCACCGATTCCAAAGTCATAACTTCTTTTGTCTTCTGACTATAATTTAAATTTTTTTTTTTTTTTTTTTTTTTTAAGTTTAAGAGATTTATATCAATTTTTTATTGACATAAATCTCTCCGGCCCTATTTCTACCCCTTTTCGGGTTTAACAGCCACCACAAATTTTTGTTGATTTTCGGAATTGAACCAACGACTTTCGTATCAGATTTTTGTGACATTTAATCTTAAATACCGTTCATTGACATAAGTCAATTTGACCGTTCATTGACATATGTCAATTTGACTTATGTCAAATAAATTGTGTCATTTCATACTTTTGTAGCAATGACGACTTTAATTCCGACTTTCTTTTATAGAAAAGTAATATTTTCTATTAAAAGACACTAAGTAAATATGAAATAATATTTGGCATACGTTATTGACACCCTACAAATCTTCTTAATATAGATTTGTATTTGTTAGGTTTCTCACTCAGTTTTCGAATTACATATTTATACAATTTTCAATGTAAAATTCAACACAGTTTTCTTTTTTTTTCGAATACGCACCACTTGCCAAGTAACATGTGCAAGAAACTATGGACTATTTGCACAATCTGAAGAGATTAATACGGATTTCATTCGAGCTTTAAGTTTCCGAACCACTTCTACCAGAGATGTAGTTTCTTTCTGACCACCAAAATAGCATTTCGTAACACTACTAGCTTTGCTGTAACGAGTTATGGTTCGAGTCATGAAAGATTTATTTACATTAAGGTGTACTAGAGCTCTAACAATAACCACTTTTGGTTTTTCGCTCAAATAATACGTTTGAATACCATCACTGATAACTTTTTTTCAAAACAACTGACATGAAAATGCTTCCTCAAGCTTATAAACAATAAAATCAACTATCATTAGACGAAATATGGACACAACATTGCCAACGGTTTGAAAGTTATAGCAGTTTTAAGTTGGTTGCAGTTCAATTGGGCCACCCTGTATAAATAATTCAGTATCAGCTGTAATTCATCCACTAATATTTTTAGAACTTGATATCAATTTGACCTATTTTAAGCACAAATATCAATAATTTTAATATCTCCATACAAAGCCTGCGTTGATTGCGATTAAATCAAAGAATTTTATGAAAATTTTTGTACATAAAGATAAATTTACCAAATAATTAAATTTATTATTCTTATTAAATTCAAATCAATATGAAAGATTTGAGTATTACCCTATTAAAATTCAAATTATGGTCATCGAGTTATGCAACCAAACTAACATAACTGTAAGTAAATTGTAGTATTTAAGTTGTAAACAAAAGTATGACACTTCAAAATTAATGGTGATTACGTTAAGATGTGTCAGAACGTGCTAAGTTTTCTTCACTAATTAATCGAAGTATGTATACTTATTTTTTTATATGATCATTAACATTGTGATTTAAGAAACATAGTTTTTTTAAGAAAAACTTATTTTTTTAAAATTTGTATTTACAAATCATTAATTTCAAGTGTATTTTTTGTAATTTATCAATGCTGGACAATAATTATTAGTTAATTTACATACTAATTTATGATTTAGATGAGATATAAATACTTTAATAATGATGATAAATTAGTAGAATTAAGCAAATTTTATAATTTATTTATAAAAGTTTATAAAGGTAAGTATAAGAAGTTATAGGTAAGTATATTTGGTATAAGTTGCATTTAAAAATCGATATCATTAATATATTGATAGATTTCTCAATAATAAGAGTTTTATAAAGATAATTATCATGTTATAAATGTATTGATATTTACAACAATTGATACAAACAAATTGCAATTGTTTAAATTATTTTTTTAATTACAAAATGCTATCTTATCTGATATTGGAGATACGGTGCAATAATTTTTTAAATCGTCATTGACTACAAAAATGTCGTCTAGTTACGGTGTGCTCTGTGTGGATATTGGAACGCGATTTATAAAATCTGTGGTGGTGAAAATTGACCAAACTCAGAAGACTATTTTACCGGAAACATATCAGATCACGCCGGCAATCGTGTCGCTATCCCCGAACGGGGAATGCCTGTGCACTGGGGTCAAAGCAAAAGCAATGTTCAATGTCCAGATGAACCAGCAGTCTTCCAATAACTTCGTTACAGGTATGAAGAGTGACCTGTAACTCAGCTTAGTAAATAAACTTTAATTTCAGATGTGTTTTCGCTGCTCGGTAAAACCTTGGTCGATTGGCGGGATTTCACGACTTTCAGTCATCCCATACAGACGACATTCAATGACAATCTCAAGATCGCGGTTGGCGCGAAGACCTACTACCCGGAAGAAATAATCTCAATGATATTGGAAGATATCAAATATTCCATTAAGCACTGCAACGTGAAGGAGATTGCTTTTAATTATTTAAATGTTGAGATTGGCAAGTGCATGGCGGCATGCTCCGGATTAAAGTTTCACAAGATCATGAAGCAGACGTACCTGCCCACAATGCATTCGTACATAGTTCATCACAGTGCGATAATCTCGAAAATATCTTTAATAATCATAGATTTTGGAATCAGTGAGTTAAGAATAACTCATATCAACAGCATCAATTATTTGAAGCAAACGTACAAGAACGTTTCATCGTCTGAATTCGCCAAATTGCTGGAGATCTTTCTACTTTGGTCGGAGAATATATCTGGTTCGTTGAACGAACGTCTTCGATTGGAAAATGAGTGCGAAAAGGCGATGGTGGCTCTATCTACCAGAGAATCTTGTCAGATTCGTTTGAGGGCCGGACGGGAGGAGAAATGGATTGTCGTGACAAGAGATGCTTTCGAGATGGCGATAAAACAAGCTGTGATGAGGTTTTTGCGAATAGTCGGGCAGTTCGTAAGAGACAAAAATATAGATTTAAAGATATCGGATGTCATCTTGATGGGTGGATCCAGCAATATTCCTTTGGTCAGAAGATCTCTCGAAGAATACATACAGAAACCAATTTGCGAGATGGCCGTCCTACCTGAATACATCACAGCCCATGGAATTGCTTCCTCAATTATAAATAAAATCACAAACGAAAAGCAATAGAAAAGTGATATTTTATATATGAAATTGTTTGGTTTCATTACATCCCTGAATCAAAGAGTTTGTCAAGATTCATTCCTTTGACATATCAACCAAATTAAAGGAATAGTCCTCTTTTCGGGACATTTCCTAGAAAATTATGCTTATCCCAACGCCCTTCAAAGAGTTAAAGGTAATGTTAAGAGTTTGAAAGTAATATTATTTATTATATTACTCTTGTATCTATCAAAAATAAAATAGTTTATTTATATACAACAATTTGTATTTTTTTTTTGATTGAATGTTACTCCAATAATTCGGCTGGAATGTCTTCACCTTTTGCGGCCCTAATGATCATTCCTTTATCAGGTTGCCGGTGACTGACGATTTTCCACATATTTTCCGCGGTTTCCATTCGATTTTGGTTCTGGAAAGTGTGACAACTCACCAAGCATTCGGGTCCAAAGAACGTCGGTATCCATTTAGTGTGTTCCGCCGCTAAATTCCTGCCTGAGCAAAAGAAACAATAATTAAATTAAATAGAATAATTTAAGCTAACAAACCTGAGGCTATATGCTGAATGATCACGGTTACATTAGGCACGACTTTACTCCCAATGGAGTCCTTCCTCATCCTCGCGTTCCAGTGAAGGATTTTGAAATGGCAATAGACGTCCGGATAAGCGGAAAGTCGCGCCATCAGGTGTCCACCGAAATTATCGAAAGTGGAATACTCAGCTTGAAGATAAAGAGGTGGAAGATCGCTGTTAGCCCTGTGCAACTGGATGAACAGATCTTCGCCGTACTTAATATTTCCGAGTTTGTTTTCCGCTGACGTGAAGAAGAAGGTGTTCCGAGTGCAAGCGATTTTATCCGGAGACGCCGTGATCCGACATCCGTGCATGAAGTTCGTGCCTTGATCGACGTCGCTCTCATCCATCAAACCTGTTTTTGTTAGATGTATTAATGATAGCTAACGCTCTGAAAACAGCAAATACCTGATAAATATAGGCCTTTGGTTTGCTTCGGATGCTTCGGTTCGATGGTGTTTGGCAGTTCTGCCGCACAAACCTGGTACACGGCTCCATAATCCAAGGTCTCTATAGCCTCGGACAATCTGTCCGGTTGAAGCACGTTCTTCAGCATCTTGCGAGTTTTCGCGACAAGAAGTTGGCATCGTTCCTTCTTGTACGCGGTGATGTTTGCCTTCTCCTCTTGGATGGCCAGCTCATTGTTCCAGTTACCGATACGTACCGGCGCTGAATATCCTGAAGACGCCTTCAGAAACTCACTGTTGTCTCGATCGTTACCGCAAAACATTTTATTTTTCTTATTTAGAAACGTCCTCGAATGTCATCACTGATTAATACAATTTTTATAATAGATTTATAGACATATACAGACATCTTGATGCATTTTAGTATAAAACTTCATTACAGTATTTTATTATTACTATTATACTAAAATTATGAAACAGTTGTAATAATCAATTTATATTTTGAATATGTTTCAGATACTTCAGAATTCATTGATGAATTAACCAAATCCATGGTATATGATTTAGGGTAAACATTTGACTTCGGATAATTGATGCATGTGCAGGAAGTGATTGAGACAACAGCAGATACTAATAACAAGATGATTTGATGAGAGATGTTCAACGTTGAATTCTGGTGAATTGAGTTTCTGGTAAGTGTTGGCGTATGATTGATGGTTGTTGGTAAACGTGTAGCGTTGTTTAATTTAATAATAATTTGCAGGAGGTGAATGGGATTGCGACAAAACAATGTTGTTGGAGTTCATCGAGAGATGTAGCAGGTATTCGGAGAGCGTGGGCTCGCGCAATCGCGCTTTCTAAAGGCCCCGTCTATACCGCCGTTTCCATCGTACGAAATCCGATAGGAAGATTTAGTCCGGCCGGGAAAATCATTTCCACCGTGTGCGGTCCGTTCCGGAGATGAGAGGACTCTCTCCGTCGTCCAAGTTGGAGAAGAATTTACGGTGCGAGTTGGGTGCGATGTGAGACGGAACATACAGCCAGCAGATATGGACGGATAAAAGATAGATTGATAGAGGGAAAGAGAGAGCGACTTGCGAAATCTCAGGTGAGAGAGAGTGTATATAGAGTCTAAGCAGCCTTCGAAAATTGTACCACTATTGTGGTGTTACTTATTAGAAACTGTATGCGGACGGCAGCAGGTTTTCAACCTTATTTACAATACTAAGCAAGGTTACAGCGCTAATTTCCGAGCGAATTGTTTATATATAACCGGCACCAATGCCGTGTCGGGATTTATCGCGCTCGGCCGCATTTCGACTATATATCAAAACATATAAAGAAGAGACACATACAACTCGAGCGAAGCTTAAGTTTCTATTGTCTTAAAGTGCGGATTAAAGTATTAGTATTATTATTTTCGTCGGTTCTCGCCCTGTTTTTTTTTTTTTTGGTGGTTATCGCACGTCGGTGTGTTCAGTTATTGATCTCCACCTCTATTTGTCTGTGAGCCGCGGGGGCGCATTTCCAACCCCCCCACGTGGAACGACTACGTCATAGGTTATTAGCAAACCGAAAGGTAAAGAAATTTGCCAATAAAAACCCAAACTTTACCTTGATTTTCACCTCTAATCACCGTACATTATTTCATATTGCACGCATATGGAAAATACATGATAATCATAACGACTCGTGCATGTATTAAGGTCATAGATAAATATATTTGTTGTTTTTTTTTTGAGTGTGTTATATTTCAAATGGATATTTTTTACATTTAAATTTCATTTATTTTCAATCTTGTGAATGCGCTCAGACAGGGTGGAGGGATTCGTCCCACGACGTTTGGGCGTATCCGAAATTCTTATAGGATTATGCACAAATTGGAACCAGTTTTACTATGTAATTGATTCATTTACCTTTCTTGTTTCTTTCTCAATATGAAATACATAATTCTGGTACACCTACCTGTTCATGTTAACTTAGTCACTGTGATGATTCAAACTTGCTTTAAGAGAGAAAAAAAAACTTCAAAATTATAAAATTTATAAATAATAATATTTCCTTCCATTCAATTCAAATATATTTAGTTCAATCGATTCATTCACTGTTCTACATTCGTTTATTTCTCTTCTCAACATGAAATAACATTCTAGTTCGTACACCTACCTGTTTTTTTTTAGATATATTTAATGATTCGAAATTACTTTAACAAGTATAAAATAATACATAAATTTTAAAAAAATAAACTCATTTTTTTTTATCAATTAATTAACAATTTAAATTCTTGTGAACATATTTACAAATATTAACCAAAAATATATTTACTTTGAGAAATAAAGTCAGTCCTACGTTTTAGTAAATTTAATTGCAATTTCATGCGAAATTAGGCAATTATTAAAAGATTTATTTCACAATATGGAAATGATGAAGCATCAAATATAAATAGAAAAATATGATTCGAACTCCTAAAGATTAACAATTTATTATTGTGTCTAGATATATAAGAATATTAAGTCTTAAAACTACCATTTTTTTTCATAACAAGCGTCTTTTTGTCAAATATACTCATAGTTTACGCAACGCATTAAGTTTTTACGTAAATTAGGCAATTATTCAAATAATAGTTTCACAATATGGATGATGAAGCATCGAATATAAATAGAAAAATCTTTATACGATATGATTCGAACTTCTAAAGATTAACAATTTATCCATTTGTGTCTAAATATATAAGAACTTAAAGTTTACGCAACTTCGATTACAGATTAAGCATAAGTCTGATTAAGTTAATGGTTTTAACGTAAATTAGGCAACTATTCAAAGAGTAATTTCATAATATGGATGATGAAGCATCAAATATAAATAGTAAAATCTATATATGATTCCAAATTTTAAAGATTTACAATTTATCCACTTTGTATCTAAATATATAAGAATATTAAGGCTTAAAACAACTATTATTTTCATAACAAACGTCTTTTGGTCAAACATACTCATAGTTTACGCAACTTCGATTACAGATTAAGCATAAGTCTGATTAAGTTAATGGTTTTAACGTAAATTAGGAAACTATTCAAAGAGTAATTTCATAATGGATGATGAAGCATCAAATATAAATAGTAAAATCTATATATGATTCCAAATTCTAAAGATTTACAATTTATTCACTTTGTATCTAAATATATAAGAATATTAAGGCTTAAAACAACTATTTTTATCATAACAAACGTCTTTTTTTCAAACATACTCATAGTTTACGCAACTTCAATTTCTGATTAAGCATAAGTCTGACTATGTTAATGGTTTTAACGTAAATTAGGTAACTATTCAAAGAGTAATTTCACAATATGGATGATGAAGATCAAATATAAATTGTAAAATCTTTATCATTTGATATGAACTCGTAAAGATTACCAATTTATCCACTTTGTGTCTAAATATATAAGAATATTAAGGCTTAAAACAACTATTTTTTCATAACAAACGTCTTTTGGTAAACATACTCATAGTTTACGCAACTTCAATTTCTGATTAAGTTAATGATTTTATCGTAAGTTAGGCAACTATTCAAAGATTAATTTCATAATAGGGATGATGAAGCATCAAATATAAATAGAAACATCTTTATAGGATATGATTAGAACTTCTAAAGATTAACAATATATCCACTTTGTGTCTAAATATATAAGAATATTAAGGCATAAAACAACTATTTTTTCATAACAAACATCTTTTTTCAAACATACTCATAGTTTACGCAACTTCAATTTTTGAAAGTTAAGCATAATTTCAGTACAATATGGATGATGAAGTATCAAATATAAATGAAAAATCTGTAAATATATGATTCTAACTTCGTAAAGATTAACAATTTATCCATTTGTGTCTAAATATAAGAATATTAAGGCTTAAAACAACCATTTTTCATAACAAACGTCTTTTTTTCAAAATATCAAGTTTACGCAACGCATTAAGTTTTAACGTAAATTAGGCAATATTCAAAGATAATTTCAAATAGGATGATGAAGATCAAATATAAATTGAAAATCTATATATTGATTCGAACTTCTAAAGATTACCAATTTATCACTTGTGTCTAAATATATAAGAAATTAAGGCTTAAAACAACTATTATTTCATAACAAACTCTTTTGGTCAAACATACTCATAGTTTACGAACTTCAATTTCAATTTTGATTAAGTTAATGTTTTAACGTAAAGTAGGCAACTATTCAAAGATTAATTTCACAATAGGATGATGAAGCATCAAATATAAATATAAAACTCTATATAGATATGATTCAAACTCGTAAAGATAACAATTTATGCATTTGTGTCTAAATATATAATAATATTAAGGCTTAAAACAACATTTTTTCATAACAAACATCTTTTTTCAAACATACTCATAGTTTACGCAACTTCATTTTCTGATTAAGTTAATGATTTTAACGTAAGTTAGGCAACTATTCAAAGAGTAATTTCACAATGTAGATGATCAAGTATCAAATATTAATTGAAAAATCTGTAAATGATATGATTCTAACTCGTAAAGATTAACAGTTTATCCACTTTTTGTCTGAAAATATAAGAATATTAAGGCTTAAAACAACCATTTTTCATAACAAACGTCTTTTTGTCAAATATAATCACAGTTTACGCAACGCATTAAGTTTTAACGTAAATTAGGCAATTATTCAAAGAATAATTTCATAATAGGATGATGAAGCATCAAATATAAATTGAAAAATCTGTATACGATATGATTCGAACTTCTAAAGATTACCAATTTATTCACGTTGTGTCTAAATATATAAGAACATTAAGGCTTAAAACAACTATTATTTTCATAACAAACATCTTTTGGTCAAACATACTCATAGTTTACGAAACTTCAATTTCAATTTTGATTAAGTTAATGGTTTTAACGTAAAGTAGGCAACTATTCAAAGATTAATTTCACAATATGGATGATGAAGCATCAAATATAAATATAAAACTCTATATATGATATGATTCAAACTCGTAAAGATAAACAATTTATGCATTTGTGTCTAAATATATAATAATATTAAGGCTTAAAACCACATTTTTTCATAACAAACGTCTTTTTATCAAACATACTCATAGTTTACGCAACTTCAATTTTAGATTAAGCATAAGTCTGCTTAAGTTAATGATTTTAACGTAAATTAGGCAACTATTCAAAGAGTAATTTCACAATACGGATGATGAAGTATCAAATATAAATAGAAAAATATGATTCGAACTTCTAAAGATTAACAATTTATCTACTTTTTATTTAAATATATAAGAATATTAA